GCTTGTGATAAATGAAAGCGACAGCCTATTATTTTTACGTTTTGCCACTTAACTTTAACTGCATTATGAATCGCTAACTCAAAATCAATTACAACAAAAGAAGGTTTAAAGTAAAGACTTAATGTTTGACATTTTGCATCCAATAACTCAAATAATTTAAGATACACAGATTGTGATTTTGAGGGCAATAAGCAAAAATCTAAAGAGTGTCCATTTTTGTAACCGTGAATTGGAAAAAACTGTACAAAATATTTGGTCGAATATTGAAATGTACCGTCCAGTATCAACTGAACATAAAAAATTAAAGTTGCTTCTGCAACCAAACAGGCCTATCGCAAATAGAACGAAACTCTTCGTTTTTATTTGTAATAGGATTCATCTTACCTAAACAAGTAATAACATCCTCTTGATTTTTGGGGAGCGTGGGCATAACAGAACATCTTGCGGCATAAATGTTTTTTCGCACTCTATGAATATTGTACGTGGTGATATCGTCACAAAACTCGTTCTTCCTTAAGGTGATTACAGCACCCCCTTATAATTTTCGGACAAGGATATCTCAAAAAGTAATTTTTTTAGAAAATTTAAATTTGGGTAAAATAAATAAGGCAATAATATCTACAATTTGCATATTTTTTAAAGTTTTAATTCTTTCCAGTTTCCGAGAAAAAAAATCAAAGGGCTTTAAATTTTTAAATATCATATTGAAAATAAATGCATTTCTCAACAGCACTATTCTTAATATAATCCCTAAATTTAAGATCTTAATCTCTTGTTAATGATTTTTTAAAATTCGCCGAAACTAGTGGCTATAACGCCTCGTTAAGTGCTTCTTTCTAGTGAAACGCGTCTGTAACTATCGTATCGTACACTCTGAGTCATCATTCGTTTCTTGCAACGATTTACACCAGTTTACACTAGTTTAGACCAGAAAATAGCACTTAGCAAGGCGTTTTAGCCACTAATTTCGGCGAATTTTAAAAAATCAGTAACAAGAGATTAAGAGCTTAAATTTCGGGAATATATTAAGAATAGTGCTGTTGAGGAATGCATTTATTTTCATTGTGATATTTCAAAATTTAAAGCCATTTTATTTTTTTTCTCGGTAACTGGAAGGAATTAAAATTTTAAAATATATGCATATTTTAGATATTATTGCCTAATATATTTTACCAAAATTTTAGTTTTTTAAAAAAATTACTTTTTGAGATATCCTTGTCCGAAAATTATAAGGGGGTGCTGTAATCACCTTAATTCTTGATGGATGAATTTTGAGGGTTTTTCTGACAGGTCCTGCAATGCTTTCCTTTTATGCTAAGGGCCTGTCGTTGAAGAGTGTCGTCTTCCTCATGGTTGTGATTGACATCACTTTTCTCGTACCTATATTATTTGGTCACGAAGGATATAAACCTTGGCCGAACACTTGTTTTTTTTAACACATCGCCATCGCACTTCACCATTGGCAAGAGTATTTGCCTCACAAAATTTAAAATTGCCTATAACTAACAACTTTTTCCCCTTTTCGCTAAAAATATACAGGGATTTCATTTCAAAACTAGCCACCCAAAATAACTTTTAAAATATCTTTAAAACAAAAAACAAAAAACACGTTAATATACAGGGTGGCTCACGCTCAACGGGACGGAGCTTTATGGGAAAACGACCAAAGATATAAAAAATTCGTTTGGGAGGAATACGTAGGTTACAGACGGCTACAATTTAAAATTTGTTAGATGTATACAGGATGTCCCACATAAGAGAAAATATACAAAGTTATATTATTTTTAATGGAACACCCTGTTTTTTATTTTAGAATTAAAAACTACATCAAAAATAATAATGTCAGTTAACTAAAGGTTCTCTATTACTATTATTATTAGTTTTCGATTTATTTGAATTTTTAAGGAAAAAAAGTCTCCCAGAAATTAATTGTTTACTCTTGTTTGAATAATTTTTAATGAACTAATTTTTTTTTTCTTATGTGGGACATCCTGTATACATCTAACAAATTTTAAATTGTAGCCGTCTGTAACCTACGTATTCCTCCCAAACGAATTTTTTATATCTTTGGTCGTTTTCCCATAAAGCTCCGTCCCGTTGAGCGTGAGCCACCCTGTATATTTACGGGGGGACACATTTTTCAAGTATCTGTAACCGTGTAGTTTCATCCCCTAAGCGGTGGTGAATATCACTTCTAAAATTTTAAATAGAAAGGGGTATCATGTGATAGCTCTTCTTAAAGGTCTCTTTTTTCCAATCTTTTGACACATTATTTTTTTAAATCGGATTAATTTTTCAACAAGTTATAACCTAGAAAATATTGAATTAAAATGCATGAGTATAAATAACGAGATAAACAAGTTAGCCTTAAAGCCTTAAATGTTTTTTGCGTAAGATATTTTTGACCGTAAATTAAAACAATTTATTATTAGTAGATTATTGGTTTCGTTGTGTACTGACAATTTAATTTTGACAATGGATTATTCTTTACAAGAAAGAATTGAAATAATCTTTATTTATGGTCAGGGCCGCTGAGAGCCAGGCCGGGCCCCAGGACAATTCTCTAGATCGGGCCCCGTGAAACAAAAAACTGTTCTCCATACTTCAAATACTTCTTCTTCTAAAAAAAACAAAAAAAAAGGTCCTCACATCCAAAAGTTATTCTCCCTATCTCCCTGTCTCCCTACTTCAACTGCTTCTCCTTCTAAAAAAAAAAGATCCTCACATCAAAAAGCTATTCTCCCTACCTATCAATTGCTTCTTCTTCTAAAAACAAAAGAAAAAAAAAAGAAAAAAAAGGTCCTCACATCAAAAGGCTATTCTCCCTACCCCTCAATTGCTTCTTCTTCTAAAGGTCAGCCGAAACTTAACTTCCCACTCTCATTTTGTGTCGTATTTCTCATGCAGAGAACACAAAATGCTGTTGTCGGCCCCTTACAGCGCTACCGGGCCCCTTACAGCGCTACCGGGCCCCCATTTAAGCCCGGGCCACGGGAATGAGTCCCAGCTACCCCCCCCCCCCCCCCCCTCTAGTCGGCCCTGTTTATGGTGAAGAACAACGAGGTGCACGCAGAACTGCTCGTGTTTTTAATCAGAGACATCCCTATACAAATGTTGGGCATCAGTATGTGTTGGATTTAGTTCATAAATTTCAAGAAACTGGAAGTGTGTGCAATAAAACTGTAAGGAATCGTAGAGTTTTAACTGAAGCTGCACAAGTTGAGATTTTAGGTCATTTTGCCATGGAACCTCAAACATCAATACCAAAAGTCTCCAGATTAACAAATATTTCCGTTGGCTCTGTGCATAAAACGTTAAGGCTAAATAAATTCTTTCCTTACAAAATTTTTAGCTTTTACAACAGCTTGCTCAGGATGATTAAGACAGAAGATTAGAATTTTGCAAATTAATGACTCAAAGGGCAAATGAAGACCATAATTTTATTAAAAATATTTGTTTTACTGATGAGGCAGGTTTCTTTTTAAATGGATTTGTCAATAAACATAATTGTAGGTACTGGAACAATACAAATCCACATGTTTTTCGGAAAGAACACAGCCAATATCCTCAGAAAATCAACGTATGGGCAGGAATTTTTGGTAATAAAATTATTGGTCCTATTTTCATGGAGGAGAGGAAAATTTAACTGGGGAATTGTATTTGAACTTATTAGAAAATCTGATAAATCCTCTTATAACCGAATCCTTAGAAAACCAAATAGATCAAGATGGAAATTTGTTACTAGACGAAGAAAACCTATTTTTTCAATAGGACGGAGCACCTCCACATTATGCCTTGCCTGTACGAAATTGGCTTAATGAGACATTTCCAGATAAATGGATCGGAAGAAGGGGCGCTACAGAATGGCCAGCGAGATCACCCGACCTACTGCCCGTTGATTTTTTTTATGGGGACATCTAAAAGCTGTGGTGTATAAAACTCAACCTCGCGATATTCCTGAACTTAGACGTAGAATAGTGGAGGAGTGTGAGCGGATTACACCAGAGACGCTTCAAAAAGTGCGGGATGAATTCGAGCTGCGACTTTACCATTGCCTTGCCAACAATGGCGGACATTTTGAACATTTTATTTAAGTACAATGTAATTCTTAAGCAAATAAAATATTAATAATGTAAATACAATGTAAATAATAATTATTTTAATTTAAAAGGTTAAAATGGCATAACTTGGTGAAAAATTAATCCGATTTAAAAAAATAATTTGTCAAAACATTGGAAAAAAAGAGACCTTTAAGAAGAGCTATCACATGATACCCCTTTCTATTTAAAATTTTAGAAGTGATATTCACCACTGCTTAGGGGATGAAACTGCACGGTTACAGATACTTGTAAAATGTGTCCCCCCGTAAATATAAATTAACGTGTTTTTTTGTTTTAAAGATATTTTAAAAGTTATTTTGGGTAGCTAGTTTTGAAATGAAATCTCTGTATTTGACTTCCATGATCGTAATGTATACTCGGTGACAATTAAAGACAGAATAAAATAGTACTTTTCTATTTTCCTTACATCCGTAATGTATCTACACATCATTCTCCTAATTACTTATTAATAATGCTAATTAATAATTGACAAGGGATTAAAGAAGGTCGCTGGCCTAACTCAATTACCTAGATTACGCCACCTGCAGCGCTGGCCTAACTCAGCTACCCCGGTAGCTCTATTTAGCAGAGCCATAATAAATAAACCACGTGATATATTATAGACGAGGATCGCGCTGATGTCAAGTTGGCATTGCAATGCTTTTGAAAATGGAAATAGATAAATATGCCAGGATGCCTCTCGTTTGGGCTCATTGGGCTCACAATATTCAGCGTTTGGGCTCATACCGTTTTCGACTAATATGGCCTCTGAAAATATCCAAGCCAAGCCTTTATGACGGAGAATTAATTATTTAGCTTATACAATCAACAAAAATTACTAAACTTGCAATCAAATTTTCTTCTGTGGCCACGTTTTCAACATGTTTTTATTATTTTCAGAAATGGGTGAACAGGACAGCAGTCCAGTATCAGAATGGTACACCAACAAATCCATATTCATTACAGGTGGAAGCGGATTTATGGGTAAAGTTATGATAGAAAAACTGCTTTATTCATGTCCAGGAATAAAGTGCATATACGTACTTCTTCGGAGCAAAAAAGGAAAATCTCCGAAAAAGCGGATTGAAGATTTTTGGCAATTACCGGTAAAGTCAAAATTATACGTATTTATATAATAGTTCCCTATTTGTTTGAAATGTTCGTTTTATATAATTAACATCTTTGTTTTTAAAGTTAAAAAACTTTACGAAGCTTTCTTGTTAAATACCGTTTAACATAGCGAAGCTCGATTTTTCTTTATTAATAAGCACTTGTTCCTGTATATACAACAAATACCATTTAAAACTGTATTTATATCTATCTGATAACAGCTCTAATTTTTCCTAGATGTTCGAACGGCTCAGAAAAGCTCAGCCTTCAGCTGTGAAAAAAATAATTCCTCTCATAGGAGACTTGCATACAGAACATTTAGGACTAAGTGCCACGGATATCGAACTTTTGGCCAACGAATGCAACATCGTTTTACACATGGGCGCCACTTTAAAACTGGAAGCAAATTTAAAAGATGCTATCGAACAAAATACAGGGGGCACTGCGAGAGTAATAGATGTGGCTAGAAAGATGAAAAATTTGGTTGCTTTCTTGCATTTTAGCACTGCCTTTTGTTCCGTCGATATAGATGTGTTTGAAGAAAAAGTAAGTAATAAATTTTACTATTTTAACAGATATATTCAATATAAACCACTTTACCACCAACCATATATATCTTAGTTTCTCTTAAGGTAATTGTAGTAAAAATGAAGATAATGATGTCAATGTACTAACTCACAAAACAATCATTCGTCGTCAAAATCTTTTGAGTGTCTTGTGTCAAAATCTTGTGCCTACTAAATTTTTTCGTAGACAAGTTGGACTATTTTAACTCCATGAGTTGACATAAAAATACCTATAATAATTGTTGAACAAAAATCATATTATTGTCGAATAATTCTTTCTGATTTTGATGTTCACGTCCCTATCGTAATAATTGCTTAGAACTACCTAAAATGATGGATAGGCAAAGAAGAGCCTCAAATATTATTGTATACAATATTAATGCATCTAAAATGACGTCTAATTAAGAACGTAATGTTGAAGATTGTACTACCATTCAAAAAATCTTACAGGATTTTAATATTGATAAAAGTAAAATTAAATCTTTTAGATTGGGAAAGTTCCTTCCGTCAAAAATAAGACCCATTAAAGTTATTTTGCCTCCGCCAGAAAATGTTAAACTGATTTTTAAAAACAAAAATCTAGGTCGGGGAACTAGTGTGAAAATTTATTCTGACCAGCGAGAATACTTAAAAAAGATTAAAATTGAATTACAAACTCTCATTGAGAATGGTGAAACTAATAAAACTATCAAATATGTTAAAGACAAGCCAACTATTGTTGACAATAACAATTACAATAAAAAAAAAACAATAAAAAAAACTAATTGAGAAACCTAATATACCATTAAATTCTGATATTATTTATGTCAATGCTCAAAGTTTAATTAGTAATTTTAATCAAATATCTGAACCTAATTTGTTACTAAGCGAAACTAAATTTTCAATTCAATTTAGTCAATATTCAATATAGGTTAAAATAATTTTTACTTTCCTATCTGTATACAGATATAAGGAAAGTATAGGAATCATGATTTTTTTCGATCTCGAGTTTTCGACGGATTTTTACGTTTTGAGGTCCCCTGAATCCGTTTTGACTATTTTCGCGATGATGTCTCTGTGTGTGTGTGTGTGTGTGTGTGTGCGTGTGTGTGTGCGTGTATGTGTGTGTGTGTGTGTGTGTGTGTGTGTGTGTGTGTGTGTGTGTGTGTGTGTGTGTGTGTGTGTGTGTGTGTGTGTGTGTGTGTGTGTGTGTGTGTGTGTGTGTGTGTGTGTGTGTGTGTGTGTGTGTGTGTGTGTGTGTGTGTGTGTGTGTGTGTGTGTGTGTGTGTGTGTGTGTGTGTGTGTGTGTGTGTGTGTGTGTGTGTGTGTGTGTGTGTGTGTGTGTGTGTGTGTGTGTGTGTGTGTGTGTGTGTGTGTGTGTGTGTGTGTGTGTGTGTGTGTGTGTGTGTGTGTGTGTGTGTGTGTGTGTGTGTGTGTGTGTGTGTGTGTGTGTGTGTGTGTGTGTGTGTGTGTGTGTGTGTGTGTGTGTGTGTGTGTGTGTGTGTGTGTGTGTGTGTGTGTGTGTGTGTGTGTGTGTGTGTGTGTGTGTGTGTGTGTGTGTGTGTGTGTGTGTGTGTGTGTGTGTGTGTGTGTGTGTGTGTGTGTGTGTGTGTGTGTGTGTGTGTGTGTGTGTGTGTGTGTGTGTGTGTGTGTGTGTGTGTGTGTGTGTGTGTGTGTGTGTGTGTGTGTGTGTGTGTGTGTGTGTGTGTGTGTGTGTGTGTGTGTGTGTGTGTGTGTGTGTGTGTGTGTGTGTGTGTGTGTGTGTGTGTGTGTGTGTGTGTGTGTGTGTGTGTGTGTGTGTGTGTGTGTGTGTGTGTGTGTGTGTGTGTGTGTGTGTGTGTGTGTGTGTGTGTGTGTGTGTGTGTGTGTGTGTGTGTGTGTGTGTGTGTGTGTGTGTGTGTGTGTGTGTGTGTGTGTGTGTGTGTGTGTGTGTGTGTGTGTGTGTGTGTGTGTGTGTGTGTGTGTGTGTGTGTGTGTGTGTGTGTGTGTGTGTGTGTGTGTGTGTGTGTGTGTGTGTGTGTGTGTCTGTAGGTCGCATAACTCATGAACCGATACACAGAAAAACACCAAATTTTAAACTTAAGCTTTACTCCAGCGTCTAATGAACTGATTAGATTTTGGGCAGAGTCGGAACATCTGGGGGGGTACTTTATAGGTGGTCATTTTTATATTTTATGGAATATATCTGTTATTTACGTTTAGAGAAGAAAATTCTTCAAATAAAACTTACTTCTAATATAATTATCTATAATTTTTGTTCCATACAAAATTTTCCTAAAATGGTCCGTATTCGAGAAATTTGACAAAATGTAAAAAAAATATTTTTTTATAAAAATTTTTCAAATAAAAGTTGTTTGTAATATAATTTTCTATAATTTTTATTCTATACATAATTTCTTTAAAATGGACCGTATTCGAGATATTTGAGAAAATGTGTAAATTTAGAATTTTGAAGAAAACTCAAAAACGGATAAAGAAAAAAACATTAAATGTTACACTTAAGGTTTATTTCGGCCTGACGTGAAATTATTAGATTTTGGACAAAGTCGGAACATCTGGGGGGGTACTTTATAGGTGGTCATTTTTATATTTTATGGAATATATCTGTTATTTACGTTTAGAGAAGAAAATTCTTCAAATAAAACTTACTTCTAATATAATTATCTATAATTTTTGTTCCATACAAAATTTTCCTAAAATGGTCCGTATTCGAGAAATTTGACAAAATGTAAAAAAAATATTTTTTTATAAAAATTTTTTAAATAAAAGTTGTTTGTAATATAATTCTCTATAATTTTTATTCTATACATAATTTCTTTAAAATGGACCGTATTCGAGATATTTGAGAAAATGTGTAAATTTAGAATTTTGAAGAAAACTCAAAAACGGATAAAGAAAAAAACATTAAATGTTACACTTAAGGTTTATTTCGGCCTGACGTGAAATTATTAGATTTTGGACAAAGTCGGAACATCTGGGGGGGTACTTTATGGGAGGCCGTTCTTATATTTTATGGAATATATCTGTTATTTATGTTTGGAGAAGAAAATTGTTCTAATAAAAGTTACTTCTAATATTATTATCTATAATTTTTGCTTTATGTCAAAATTTTCTGAAATGGTCCGTATTCGAGAAATTTGACAAAATGTGCAAAATTCTGATTTTTATGAAAATTGTTGAACTAAAAGTTGTTTGCGATATCGATCTATAATTTTTGTTTATACATGATTTTTCTAAAATGGACCGTAATGGAAAAATTGTAGGAAAAGTGCTAAATTTAAATTTTTCAGTATTTTCGTTTTCAATGAATATCTATAGAAAAATGTTTCGAGGTAGTTGAATGTAGACAATGTATACAGGGTGGCTCACGCTCAACGGGACGGAACTTTATGGGAAAACGACCAAAGATATAAAAAATTCGTTTGGGAGGAATACGTAGGTTACAGACGGCTACAATTTAAAATTTGTTAGATGTATACAGGATGTCCCACATAAGAAAAAAAAATTAGTTCATTAAAAATTATTCAAACAAGAGTAAACAATTAATTTCTGGGAGACTTTTTTTCCTTAAAAATTCAAATAAATCGAAAACTAATAATAATAGTAATAGGGAACCTTCAGTTAACTGACATTTTTTTTGATGTAGTTTTTAATTCTAAAATAAAAAACAGGGTGTTCCATTAAAAATAATATAGCTTTGTATATTTTCTCTTATGTGGGACATCCTGTATACATCTAACAAATTTTAAATTGTAGCCGTCTGTAACCTACGTATTCCTATCAAACGAATTTTTTATATCTTTGGTCGTTTTCCCATAAAGCTCCGTCCCGTTGAGCGTGAGCCACCCTGTATATTTAGTTTATCCTCTAAACATTTATAGAAATGCTGCAATAGGTTGTACAAAATAACCGGAAAAAGCCTATAATAATTAGATAGGAAAGTCATGTGTTGGGCACATCAGATTTTTTCTTATTGGTTCACCAGTTCCTCCTTGCGACGTGTTTATTTCTCCTTGAATATTGTCAATAATACTGTCCATTTGTTCCCGTATACCTTGAATTGCTGCTTCGAAATTCTCCAAATCTTTCTTGACCTTAATCTGTGCATACCTTTTGTAATTGGTTAAAAATAATTTCCACGTGAGGCATTATTTGATGAAAAATACTAAAAAATAAAATTTTTATCCTGAAATTTTAATTTGTACCCACTTGCTTGATTAATAGACGACGAATCGCGTTTTAACTACTTTCTATAATGTTCAAAAACTATAATGAGGTCTTTTCTATTCTCATAAACAGTATAAACACCTCGCGATTGAAAATTCCAACGAGTTTGGGAAGATCTTGGCAACCCGCGGTTAACTACCTCATCCAAAATTTTTCTTCTTTGAGGAGACGTGGAAAAGAAAGAGCACAAACCAGATAAATTAGAAAAAAATATTCTAGCCTGCTTATTGACAGAACTTGCACTTGTCATAACTAAATTCATCTGGTGTGCATAACAATGAACGTAAACTGTAAGAGGATATGTTTGTTTAATAATTTTTTGCACACCATTTAAATCCATCACTCATTACAGACGAGCCGTCATATTTTTGAGCAATTAATTTATTTAGACTAAGTTTTAAATAATGGATGTAAAACATTTAAAAAGAATTCATCGATTGATTTGGCGTCGCGTACATCGAGCATGTAAAACCTCTAAAATTTCTCAACTGGTCATCCTTTACACAAATATCTGAAAACTATAACTAATTGAAATTCACAAGCAACGTCCGTCGTTTCATCGGCAATCACTGCAACAAAAGGAGAATTTTCTATTTTTTTCCTAACTTCTTCGTGATAAGTTTTACAACAGTTAATCAAAATACTATCTATAAGTATTTAAACGAAATTAAAACGCAGGCTATAGGAATTGATGGATTGCAAATTAATATGCTCCTTATGTGTTATCCGTATATTTTAATTTTCATTACGAATATTGTTAATTCCTGTATAAAG